TTTAGTACCGCTCTTCCACGCAAGCAATTGCTGTAGCTACAGAAAGGAATTACAAAACCTCCACGGAGAAAGGCTGTCTCTACTCAATTCCCAAGCAGGGACCGTAAGGAAGTTCAGCAACTTCCAGACCATCAGCACTACATCCGTTCTGGTGGAAAGTGCTCATGCTGAGAGTTTTCCCCTTACACATTTACTAGAACTAATCCGTACCTTTTTAAACTCAGAGTAATTTCCTGTCCTGAGGAAAAAGTGTCCTCTCATTCTAAATCCGCTTTAACGATCATGCCTACCCCATTCCACTGAGACTGTTCAGAGGGAAGCGACTCTAATCTATTTAGCTTCACGGAGGGTTTCTCTCTGACATGTGCTCTCCTAATAGACCATTTATCAGGATGAAGGGTGTTCCCCAGAGAGTGCAGACAGCAGGACAAGCCTAGCCTGAGTGACAGTTTGTCCAGCAGACTGACTTTAATGAAGCACAGAATAAACAGGAAGATTAAGAGAGTGCAAAAATTAGTGACAAGTTTTGAGTTCACCTGGGCAGCTTACTGTGCAGCACAGATCTGTCATTGAGTTATAAATGTTATATATCTGTTTGGTTGCTAAGGATCACCTACAACACACAGAAACCCTGCACACATTACAAGAGAAAGCTTTCTCCTTGATTCTCACCCTTGAGAGAGGGTACCTGCTTGAAACCCAAAACCACTCACAAGTTATAGGAGGACAGGATTCTGGCGGTTGTCTGCTCCGACCCCCTGCTCAGAGCTGGGCCAATTTCCAGCATGTTGCTCTGGGATTTTCTAAGTAATTCCTTTTCAGATGACAACCTTTTGTAGATATTCATTGTGGAGTTTCTTTCTCTGCAACAGAAATCTGGTGACAGTGTGGATATATTGTATGGAATCCATCTTAGCAAATTTCAGACTGTAGCATCTCCAGTTGAGTCTGAGGTCTTCTTACTGCCAATGGATAGAAGCAGGTATGCTTGCCAACTATAAACGTCTACCTCAGGGTGAGTTCATGTCAGCATCTCTCTCCACTGGCTGTTAATGGAAAAAGATCAACTCAGACACAGACAAGTTTGGATAATGACTTTCACCCACAAACATCAGGCACGTAGCCCTGAGGTGTAGCCAAGTCTCGTTCTTCATTCTGACAAGCATGACTCTTACTCCAGACATCTCTCCAACATCTTCATACTTACTCCTTTTGCTGGACTCTGATAGAAATTGATAAATGGAGGCTGAGACTGAGGCTATGAATGGAGAGAAGTTTTCCACCCAGAAGATAATGAGCTACAAATGTGGAAAGGAACCTTACTACTACAACACATCACAA